ATATCACAAAATACTCTATATATAATTTTATAAATTTTAAAATTAATTATCCGGTTCAGCAATTGACCCGGTGACCCGACGGTTGAACCGGTGACCCGGTGACCCGAAGACACGGGGATCGATTACCGGACCGGTTTAAAAACTATGATTTAACATGCTATAATCTGTAAGCTTGGTCTTTTTAAAAGATTTGAAATTTTGGCCCCATCTACACAAATGGAAAAAACCTCTGCAACAAATGAAAACCAATGATCGAATCGATAATTTCACAGCTCTCAAAGCCCAACCAAACCCTCCCAACAACCAGAGCAGTACACGGGTTGATAGCCAAGACCCGTCTTTCATCCGACCCGTTTTACGCGACCCGAATCCTTAGGTTCTACGCGCTCAACAACGACCTCATATCCGCACGCAAGGTGTTTGATAAAACTCTCGAAAGAAACATATTCCTCTGGAACTCCATCATTCGAGCCTACGCCCGGGCCCGAGATTTCCAAACCGCATTCGGGCTTTTTAGAAGCCTGCTGGGCTCGGGGACACGGCCGGATAACTTCACTTTCGCCTGCGTGGCCCGGGCTTGCTCGGATGGGTCCAACGTGAGGGCGTTGCGCGCCGTACATGGAAAGGTAGTTTCTTTCGGGCTGGGTTTGGATTCAATATGCAACAGCATGCTCGTTAGCTGCTATTCGAAATCGGGCCTCGTTCGTGAGGCCCACTTCGCGTTTAGTCGGATTAAAGATCCGGACTTGGTATCATGGAATGCAATGATTTCCACTTATGGAAGCTGTGGAGATTGGTTGAAGGGAATAGAACATGTTAACTCAATGCAGGGTATGGGAATTCGGCCCGACGGGTACACGATGGTCGGGCTGATTAACGGGCTTATCGACAAAAGCCCGATAAATGTACAAGAAATGGTTCATGCTTTTTGCATAAAATTTGGTTTAGAATCGAACGATCATGTAGGAAGTATGCTCGTTCGTATGTACTCTAAGTGTAAGAAAATGGAATTAGCTTGCAGAGTGTTCGATAGTCTAGTCGAGCCCGATTTGGTCTCTTGGTCAACTCTTATCGCCGGGTTTTCCCAATCGGGATACAATTTAAAGGCACTAGACATTTTCCGGCAATTTGTAAACTACGGGAAGGGGCCCGATCATGTGCTTCTCGCCAGCGTGCTCTCGGCTTCTGCCCAGCTGGCAATTTTAGGACCCGGTTTAGAGATCCACGCGTACGCCGTACGGCGAGGCTACGACTCGAAAGTCTCGATTGCCTCCGCGCTAATCGACACGTACGCGAAATGCGGGTTCTTGGAGTGGGGCGTGAAAGTGTTCGACAAAATGCCCAAAAGAAACTTGGTCTCGTACAATGCCGTGATTTCGAGCCTCGGTTTGTACGGACGTGCTCGCGATGCGTTTTGGGCTTTCAATACACTTTTGAGAGAAGGATTGAAGCCCGACGAGGCTACTTTCGCGGGCCTCCTTTGTGCTTGCTCGCATTCGGGCTTGGTTGATTTGGGACGAGAGTATTTCATCATGATGAAAAATGAATATGGGCTCGAGGCTAAAACAGAGCATTTTATTCACATGGTGAAGCTTTTGGGGATGAACGGGAAACTGGACGAGGCTTATGATCTCGTTCGGGACTCTTTGCCTGGTGGGCCCGTTGACCCGGGTGTTTGGGGCGCGCTTTTATCGTGCTGTGATTTTAGCAAAGACTACGAACTTGTTGAAGTTATAAAGGATCATTTATCAGGACATGTGGAGAACGGGAGTGGTTATGGCGTGATGGTGTCGAATTTGTTCGCGGGTTGTGGGAGGTGGGATGACGTGGCGCGGCTGAGGGTCGATAAGGGAGGGGCCAAAGGCAAAATGCGCGGAATTAGCTGGGTCGATGTGTAAATAGTAAAAAAGAAAAACTCGGTTAAGTGATTGGTAATGGATTCTGTATTTCTGTGCATGGATATTCTTTTGTGTTCTGTTAGCGAAAGAATCCCGTTAGCATGCAAAAACCGAACTCTATTTTGTTGAGTTTGGGGTTTTTTCATGGATTCTTTGCTTGATTTGTAAGGAAGGCCCTTGAGATATACAGAAGCAGCATTTTTCTAAGGTTTGTGTCTCTAATTTTTTTGAGATGATATACGAACACGAGATTCTTGGTTGTGTCTTACTCGTATGTATGGAGCCTTTGTGTACATGTTGATAGCTTGTAAACGAGCCAAGCTGAGCTAGAACTTAGTGTGCGAGCTCGATCCTTTAACAATCCTAGTCTAAGTCGGCTCGTTAAATATACAGTTAAAAATTGAGTTCGAGCTCCAACTAGGCTCGTTTATACTATTAATGAGCTGATCTCGAGTTTTAACGAGCATGAATATAGAAAATTATATAAAAATTCTCTTTTCGAGCTTTAATGAAACTCTCGTTAACCAAACGAGCTTTAAATGAACTCAAACTCGTCCCGTTAAGGCTCGATAGCTCGAACTTGAGCCTTAACAAGACGAGATTAATTTTCCATTTAACCACAATTAATGCAAGAGCCCAAACATGAAATCAAATGTATGGCATAACCTTTGAACACGAGTTCAAAAATAAACCTTTGGCGAGATTAATTTTCCATTATAATCAACTTGTTATTCATTGTGCCCCTGTTTGTTTTGTAGGAGAAAATTGTGGAATGTTTGTTTTCTCTCCCAAAAACAGTATATAAACTCTGCAGGAACAACATGAATACATGATAATTCATAGTTGCACAAAACATTACTAGGTAGGATCAAATTTACCCCAAAACAGTACATAAACAAACTCTGCAGGAACAATATGATAAACTGCACACAAAACATTCTTACAAATAAACAAGAATTATCAACTAATCCGATTCTTCTTCGATCTGTGCCGTATTACAAATCTCACTTCTCTTAAACACATTACTCCTCCTCGGAACATCAGCCAACTTACAAAACTCCGTAAAATCCCTCCTAACATGCACCACCGTTTTTTTCTTCTTCTCTATCGGACGTGGGCCAAGCTTTCTTAAGTCGACCGTCGCACCATACATTTCTGAAGATCGAACGATCGCATCATATGCCTTTGCTGAAAGCACGAGCCCTTCGTTTGTTGCCCTTAAATGCAACTCGTAAGCAATCCTCGGTGTGCAGCTCTCGCCAGAACACCTATCAACATCTCGTAAGTAACCTCGTTCGGGTCGACATTTCGATCCTTCATACGCTGAAACCACTCGTATGCCACACTCCCGAAATTATTCCGGATGCAGCTACTGATAATCGCGTTAAACGTCACAACCGTGGGCCCCATGCCGAGGGTGGCCATTTCCTGTAAAATTGATTCCAAAATGTTGAATTTACCCTGGCCTGCGTAAATCGAGGCTATGATCGTGTAGGCATTCAAGTTCGGCTCGACCCCAACTTTAATCATGTGTTCCCAAAACTGACGGGCTTCCTCGTAGAGCTTCCCTTTCTCAAGAGCACTGAGCAATGCCCATAGGATATAATAGTGGGCTTCTCCCCATTTTCGACCATTCTCTTGAATATCTCGACAGCAGCTGAAGTTTCAGAAGCCTTTGAACAAGCAACAAGTACAGAGTTCCATTTGCGGCTACCCGGCTTGAGCCCCTTCTCCTCCATCTTGTTCAGCAGCCTCACTCCCCATCTCCAGATACCTTTTCTCCGAGCGGCCGATAAGAGTATATTAAAGTGGGAGGCAATAAGCTCGTACTACATGTAATTCGGCTTCAGCCCTTTATCCAGCATGTCCTCGTAAACTTGTAAAGCTGCCCACCATTTTTTCGCCTTACCCAAATCCAGATCATGTGATTGCAAACGGATAAGCTTATTTCGTTTTCGTTGTCCATTTCTCTAATCCGAGCGTATAATTCCTTGACCACGAGATAATGCTCGTCATGCGTACAAACCCAGATGAGGCGCTCGTTTTCCGAACGGCCGGGCTGCAAACCGGCATTGTCCATTTCGATTAGCAATCTCAGTACATCAGTGCTTAGATTTTCGGATTTCACTAACCAACATCTCATCACTTGGTAGCACACACGGGCAGTGAAGTTTTCCACCTTCTCAAACTCATGACCCCATTCCCAGTCTACCTGTTCTCCATCTTTCCCGATTTTGCCTTTTTGGTATTTATTTCTTATCTCGACAAAGAATTTTAAAGCCGCGAATCCATCTTCCATCCTACGGTAAGCAAATATCACCGTAGAATAAGAAGCAGGAGCATAAGACACGCCTTTATCTGGCATCTCGTGAAAAATCTGGATAGCCTTGGCTTCTTGCCCTCGATCAATGTGAATACTCATTAGAGCGTTGTACGTCACGACATTAGGATGTAAACCTTCTGCGGACATATCACTTAGGAGGATCTCAACAAAATCAAGATTTTCAGCATGCTTGCGAGTTCCCAATATATTGTTATATATGAAAAGATTGAGCCGGATTGTGTTATCAGCCTCCTTGCTCTTTCTCTTAAGCCACAGAAAGAGAGCCATTGCTGCATGCATCTACCCTCTTCTCTTTGCCAAGACACTTGATAATGGTCGAGAACACTTGAAGGGGAAGTTTTTCCTTCCCTTTCAAAAAACATAATTCCATTCATTTAATACCCCTTTGGGCTAACAGATCTCATTTCTTGCTTTCTACAAACATCGATCCTACACAGGAATGTGCGAACGAAGAAAAGATGCTTGAGATTCTTGGAAGACAGCTTGAGTAAAGACACGTAGGGTTTGCAGGCTTCTCTACAAGATATGGCAATATGCGAACCTTGTCTAACTCGATGTGGTTGTTCACTCACTCGCGGTTCGGTGATCTCGGTCCGCGGATCCTTTAGCGGCTTTTTCATAGCCACGGATAGGGCACCCTAGGTTGATTAATGCATTCAACATCATCGGCAGTTTTGGCTGAGTGTAGTTAGTCTAAATGACAGAGCACGAACATCAACTTTTTCACTTTGAACATCAGTATCTTTCAGTATGAGTAAATTTCACATCATCACTGTCATCTGGAAAATCATCTAAATCGACTAATTCATCCATGGGCAGTACTAATAACTGCTGGCTCCTCCAGTGCCCATGACAGGGCAAAAGTTTACCAACAAGAAAAGCCCCAATTTCGAAAATAACTCTGATACATACACTAACTAACCTATGGAAAGAAGTAGAGCTAAATCCCAACCTTCTCCTTCTATCTCCCAACTTAACCACCGAGCTACTACAAGGACGGACACAAATTCAAATGCAATGCA